TCCACCCTTCCCCCAGGAGGTTCTCTGTACCGTTCTATCCCTGACTAATGATTATGCAGACACCCTGACCACTTAAAATATGATGTGAAGGAGACCCACTATCTCCTGGGAGAAACCTTTTCCTGAAACAGAAGCCTGGGGAAATTTTTCTTGGTTGTGACATATACAACCTAGTTAGAATCTACCTCATGCTCTTAAGATGGCATTTAATCATGAAGACAGCATACCTAACCAAATTGAAAATTGCTTGGTGGCAAGTACTTTGATTTTATTAAATGGGTATAGGTCTCTTCAACTACAGGCTCTAGGAGGGCAAGGACCTTCTCTAGCTCACCGTGGACTCAGGACTAGCCCAGGGCCTGCATTCCGTCTGGGCTGGAAAAGCATTTGTTGAATAAATGAAGGCAAATTAAAAAGTTGAAATTCCAAGTGGTGCAATTACATCTATGGATTTTAAGGTTTCATTGGAAAATGGGAAATATTACTGAGATTCAGAGATGGGTAGGAACCAAGGTAAAGCATAAAAATGTGTGTCTTTGTATGTCACTAGAGTCTATATGCCTAATAGACTAATAGTAGGTCTGATGCAACCCTGGCACTAGGCCTTGTCCAGCCCCTTCTGTGGGGTGTTTGGATCCACGCAGGTAGGCAAGGCGGGAGGGGTGCCCTGGATGTGGTCTTGTCACTAGATCCTGATCTCAAGTGTCCATGGGCTGAGTTGTGAGCCCTTCTGTTCCCCACACTGCAGTCTTTCCCCACTCTGAGCCTTGCTTCCCCCACCTGCAGTCTGGTTCCCCAACGGCCACTGTGGCCTGGCCACAGGGATGGGCCTTGTTCCACACTTCCCAGGAGTTCCTAATTCTGGACGTGGCCCAGCACACCCCTACTCCACTCTGCCAGGTCTCCACCAGACCACAGACCTAGCTCAGGCCCTGGGTATGGGGCCCCTGGCTCCCCACCTGCTGCGGTTGTTGTCATTAACCTGAGCTCTACCCAGGACCCTCTTCTCCCTTGCCCAGACTACCAAAGCTAACACACGTCTGAAGGCCACACTCATCCCTGGTACAAAAGTACTTTTCCAAAATGCTTACCCTTTGGACAATTTTTTTCCTTAACCTACATTTTAATATAAGCAAGATCAATCTTCAATCCAAATAAATGTATATCGCTGCCAAAGCCACCACGTGATTTTGAGAGAAAGTGCCAATAGTCTTTTGCATTCACTTGATAGAATCCTGAAAATACCTTCTGCTGTCACTTGACTTTCTGACTTGTCCCTTGAGGACATCTAGGCAAAATTGTGTCACTGGGTCCTAGTTTCTGTGTTCAGAAATTGATCAAATACAAGTTAAGAAACAATACACATTGCCTCTTTCTCAGCACGCATGAATGAGAGGCGTGAATTTGCATCATGAGAAAGTGAATAAAAGAAGATACCACAGGGCAGCTAGGGAGACAGAAGCAGCCAGCCTAGGGCACGAGTGAAGTCTATATCAGAGGTTGTGAAAGTGAGGGTCACTCGATACTTTGGAGACGCACTGGTATGACGTAAATACTGAGGCTGCAAAATTTTAGCTCAAAGAAAAAGATTCAACTTCTAATGGTTAACTATGTAAGATATGCTTTTAAGTGTAGGCTAAAATTGTATCCCCTCCTCAAAGAAATAAGAAACCCACTATATTTCTAAGAACGTTCCTCCAGAAACATGGAACTGAAAGCTAATTTTTTATTGATCGGGCCCTAAGGAAACAGTGGGGCTTTTTCTTTAATTTACCTAAGGAATTAACACAAGAATCTATGGTTCTGCACCAGAAAGATACAGAAAATGTCAAAATATAGGGCAGAAATACAAAACTGAGATTTGTTGCAACAATATTATGCGCATAGTCTTTGATTCCAAGTGTGCAGTATGGGGAAGTGAACCTTTGGACTGTGAAATTGATGCTAATTTTCTTTCCCACTAGTCTAGAAGCCCTTTAAAATGTCACATCATCAATTTAGTTACTTTACCAGGAATAAGTGCATGTGGTTAGCGTGCTTTTTTAAAAAAAATTAATAGATATTATTTTTAGAACAGTTTTAGATTTACAAAAAATTGAGCAGATAGTACAGAGAATTCCCACCTACCCGGCACACAATTTCCCCTCTTATTACCGTCTTGCATTAGTATAGTGTATTTCTTACAATTAACAAGCCAATATTGATATATTGTTATTAACTAAAGCCTATAATTTACATTGTTACCTTCTTTCTGTTGTATAATTTTGTGGGTTTTGACAAATGTGTAATGTCATGTAGCCACCACTATGGTATCATACCGAATAGTTTCACTGTCCTAAAATTTCCCTGTGCTCTGCCTATTCACCCCTCCCTATCTCTCCCTGAGCCCCTGGCAACCACAGATCTTTCTACTGTCTCCATGGTTTTGCCTTTTCCAGAATATCATTTCATTGGAATCATCCAGTATGTAGCCTATTTATATTGGTTTCTTTCATTAAGCAATATATATTTAAGTTTTCTCCATGTCTTTTCATGTCCTGGTAGCTCATTTCCTTTTATCTTTGCATAATATTCCATTGTCTGGATGTACCACAGTTTGTCCACTCACCTATTGAAGAGCATCTTAGTTGCTTCCTGTTCAGGGCAATTATGAATAAAGCTGCTATAAATATTCATGTGTAGGTTTTTGTATGGGCATAAGTTTTCAACTCAATTCCATAAATCTATCTAGAAGTGTGATTGCTGAATCTTATGGTAAGAGTATGTTTAGTTTTGTGAGAAACTGCCAAACTGTCTTCCGGAGTGGTTTTACCATTTTGCCTTCCTGCCAGCAATGAATGAGAGTTCCTGTTGCTCCACATTCTTGGCAGTATTTGATGTTGTCAGGCTTTTTGGATATTAGCCATTCTAAATAACAGCATGTGATACTACCTACCTTTTCATATGCGTATTTGCCATCTGTATACCTTCTTTGGTGAAGTATATGCTTATGTATACCTTCTTTGGTGAGGTATATGTTCAGATCCTTTATCCCTTTTTCAATTGTGTTTTGTGGGGGGGTATCAATGAGATTTAAGAGTTCTTTGTATATTTTGGAAACCAGTCCTTTATCAGATATATCTTTTGTAAATATTTTCTTCCAGTCTGTGGCTTGTCTTTTTAGTCTCCTAATGGTTAGTGTGTACTGATGACTTAAGGAGGAGGGGTTCTCAAAATACAATTTTACAGCAGCAGTAAAAAGAAAAATTGATCACAAATGTCTTATGCATTCTCTCAGGTGATGTCAGGGAACTGTGGACCCGGCAGGGTTTCATTAACAGGCAGTGTCAAGTCCTGGGGGCTGTGGCTGACTATCCTACAATTTCTAATAAGCAATTGTGCAGCAGGGCTGGGAATAAGAAGACAACCTAGCCCTGAGCTGCATCACCTCTTCTTCTTCTTTTTCAAGATATATATATATATATATATATATATATATATATATATATATATATAATTTTTTTTTTTTTTTTTTTTTTTTTTAGACAGAGTCTCACTCTGCAGCCTGGGCTAGAGTGCTGTGGTATCAGTCTAGCTCACAGCAACCTCAAACCCCTGGGCTCAGGCGATCAATCCTCCTGCCTCAGCCTTCCGAGTAGCTGGGACTGCAGTCACACACCACCATGCCCGGCTAATTTTTCTATATATTTTTAGTTGTCCAGTTAATTTCTTTCTATTTTGTTTAGTAGAGACAGGGTCTCACTCTTGCTCAGGCTGGTCTTGAACTCCTGAGCTCAAATGATCCTCCCACCTTGGCCTCCCAGAGTGTTAGGATTATAGGTGTGAGCCACCATGCCTGGCCTGCATCACTTCTAAATTAAGAACAATTCAGGAATTGTGTTTACAGTGGAATCCCAGCACCCCTCACATAGGTTATACTATAGACAGGATATGAATTTCTGTCCATGAGTCCAAGTACATAAGAAATAATACTTTCCTTATTTCCTTTAACTCAACCTGATCCCACCTCTGAGCCTCCTTTCTGCCAGTTGGACAACAGATTCCATATTGGTCATGCAGGGGTCCCCCCTCTCCTGCAGCCCAGTCAGAATCCAAGAAGTTCACCTTGTACCTGGGCCACAGGTCCACAGGTCTGTCCTGCCTGCCACTGGCATGTTCACTATCTGAGCCCACAGTGGGCTGGGAACCATGGAATCTCCTTGATCCCATGCCTCAGTGGGGCATGAGAATATGCACTCTCTAGGTGTGAGCCGTCACCCTTGAGGTTGCCACTCACTCAGGAGCACTGACAGGGGGTGGGGGCGCTTGGGTTCCCATGGCTCACAGGACCCACACATCTGTCCCCTGCCTTCCCACCATCTTGCATCTCAAAAAAACCCTCCCCTCTCCTCTCACCCTCTAGGGCACACGAACCATCTCCTCCATGGGCTTTCGCAAAAGTCTAGAAGAGCCTTTGACTTTGGATCGCTTCTGCTCCTCCCATTCCCAACCCCACCCCTGTACACATCTCTGTATCAAGAAAGCTCAGAAAACAAACACTAATTGACATTTCAATAAATAATGCTGCTATAATTACTTGTGGAAATTATTCTACATTGGAACCACTGCCACCACCCAGAATACTTAGAGACGGCGCCTGACCACTGGCCCCAGGAGGCCATTTCCATGTAGCAACAAACATATGACTGAAATTGAAAAATTCAGCTAAGTATTTGGATGTTTCCAGATGCTGACAGGTTTCTGGCTTTGGCACAGGGTAGATTCTGACTGTGTGGTCCTCGGGGAAGTATCTCCTGGGCAAAGCTGGATGAGGGCATCAGGAAGGTATCTGTCCCCCCGCCCCTAGCTGCCACCTGTACTCTCCCCCCTTCTGGCTGCTTTTCTTCACAGAAATGGAGGAAGCAGCCCTACACTGAAAGCAGCTTTCTGAGGTTACCAGCAACTTCCTCCTCACCAAACACAAGGAACTTATTATCTTCACTTTGCTTGTCCTCTTTCAGCCTCTGTTGGACCCTCCCTGCCTTTGGCTCTGATGACACGCGTGGGGGCCAGAGTGATTTTGACTGGCTGAACACTGGCCTGGCGCACAAACACAACAGGGCGAGGGGGTTGCAATCTGACTTGATAGGTGGAAAAAAGAAAAAATACTGTCAGCAGCCTCCTGCAACGGTTGAAGGGCTAATTTGATCTCTGACTCATTAGCGAAAGTGATCTCGTCACTGCCTGTTCCGTGTTCTGCAAGCCCTCTCTGCTGGCAGGTATGTGGCTAGCTCAGGGAGAAGGGTGCTGGTGGCGGCGCCTCCAAGCTGCTTAGGGGCCTGGGGACCTTATCGCATGAGGAGCGGTTGAGAACACAGAGAGATGACGAGGGAAATTTATAATATCTGCTTTCAGCTTTTCGGAGGGCTTTATGGAAAAGAGTAAAAGAATATATTCTTTTAGTTCTAGAAAAGAATGGGACAGGGACAACTAGGTGTTACTTATGCAGCGGAGGAGTTAACAGGGTAGTAGTTTGGGATTATTATTAAAAAAGACATTTTTCTTACAATTTCTCTATCAGGTAGTGAGTTTTCCCAGCATGACAAGAAAGCAAAGGCTAGACCTGCATGTGTCAGGACATCAAAGGGGGTCCTTGCTTGAGTGAGAGACTGCAGTGGTGACTTCTGAGGTCCCTCACAGCCTGACAATTCTAGCTAAGTCACAGAGTAAGAGAATTCCATGACACCACATCACCGCTTGTTTCTGTCACCTGCTTCACCCCTCATCTCCCTTCCCTGCCTTTAGCATACTCCTGCGTCACAGCATGGAAGAGGCTGCTCGAAGCAGGAACTGGGATAAGTAGATGGGAGAAAGGATATGGAAAAGAATAAACAATGAAAAAAACTTTTTTTGAAAAAAAAAATCCTACTATATTCCAGGACCTCTGCTATCTTATTTAATCCTCATGACAAGCCTGTGAAATATTTACTATTCTGTGATGAAACCAAGGCTCAGAGAGGTTAAGTAACTGCCCCAAGAATACACAGGTATTAAGTACTAGAGCCAGGGTTTCAACACAGGTCTCTGTGATTCCAAAGCCCAGTATGGTGTGTTATTTTCACTCAACTTTTATTTATGGCAAATGATATTGCTTTCTAAAATGTTTAGTATTGACATAAAGATTCCTTTTAAAATAAATTTACTTAAAGTAAGAGAAAAATACCATGTAGATAATAAGATAGACTGTACGTGGAAATGGAGTGGTACTAGTAGCCAGAACGACCGAAGTTTGGGAAATCCTGCTCCCAATATTTTGAGAGCTGGACTTTGAATTTAGCCTATCTTATATTTTGACTGCTGAGCACAGGAAAAGAAGGAAACTTGAAAATGAAGTAGATTATTAATTAATTCTCCTGTGCTTTGTGCACCCTTTCAAACAACAACAAAACATTGTGATTGTGAAATCCACAGGAAAACCCCAGGTGGGACCTGTCTGTGTAAAAGGGTGAAGTTTCCAAGGGCTGCACATAAAATGGCTGAGGGGAAGTGATGACTTGTGAATCAGGGTTCCGGACCCAGGCAGGAGCCCTGTGGGTTTGAAAGGCTCTGAATGGAAGGTGAAGGGCTTTACAGACCTGTTTACGGACTTCCTCAGTGACCAAAGGAAGATCTCTGTGGAAAGGTCAAAGTGAACTGGGAAAGTCTGAAAAGAAAATAGGAAAGTAATAATGAAGGCTGAATAGCCGTGTGGTATGTTCTGTACCAGGTGATTTACAGAAAAGATCTCATTTGGTTTTCACAACAACGCAGCCAGGAAACTATTATGAGCCACACTGCATGTGAGCAGACTGACACTCGCAGATGTTCAGTAACTTGCCAAGGGCCCAGCGGTCAAGCCAGGAGTGAAACTCAGACCACCAGTTCCAAACCCACCTCCTTCCCCTGCACCACGTGCCTTTGTTTGGATGAGCCTCCTCAACCCAGGCACCAACTTTGTCACTTTTCATTTCTCCTGCCCTGCAGGACACAGCCAGCCTCCAAGAGAGGATAGGGGCGTGCTCAGAGAGGGCTGCCTTTCTCCTTCAGAGCTCAGCGCTGCAGACCTCAAAGGCACATGATGCGCCCCGCACCGAGCAGAGCGCTTTGCAGTGCCCAGGAGCTGCATGTGCCTGGGGCAGGACGCAATGTCTGTGAAGCCTGTCCCTGCTGACGCACTTCCCGCTTCTGCTTGTGACTTGTCCCCAAACTCAAGAGTACCACCCACTTCCAGGAATAGTGGACCAAGGTAACAGAAACATTCTAGATCCAAACAACTAGGATTGGATTAGGATAATCTGAAAATGGGAGTTGCATATGTTAATTGCCTTCTAGCAGGATCTGTGGAGAGGTACTTAATGAATGGTTTGAGGGGAGGGCAAGAGCTGAAGCTCCTGGTCTCTCCGCTCTCTCCATTTGAGGACAGTTCTGCAGCCCTGTGGAGCTAGACCCTGCCACATGGCTGCCGAGAGAAAGCCTTTGTTGAACTGAGCCAGGTCTTTCTTCACCTGTGGGCTCTACAGGCTGTGCTCCCAGATCTCTGTCGATCTGTTAGAGAAGGTGTCTTTGTCATGTTTGTGGATGGGGCTGTATTTGGGGGTTTCCTCAGGGCTTTACACTCACTCTCCGAGGGTGCATTTGTAGTCATCTTCATCAGTGGAAATGCCCACCTGCCAGCAGAAGTTATCTGGAAGCAAGTAAGCACACTGGCCCTGTCAGCAGTGGTGTTTCTCTTTAGTCAGTTCCCCTTTCTGTATGCGAGCTCTAGCCTCAGCCCTGAGGTTGTTTTTCTCTCTACAAGGAGTTTTAGGAGGCATGGGGAGCATGCAAAAGCTCCTTTTGGCTTATTCTTAGTACCTCGCTTCCATGTGCCTCGGGAATGCTGCTGTGCTTTTGCATCTGGTCTCTGGGAGCTGCGGTGGATGGGCGTCGGTGACAGGTACGTTCTCGGAGGCTGGGACGCTGGGGAGTGGTGTGAAATGAAGCTGTATCTGGGGTAGCGGTGCGGTGCCGATGTGCAGATGGCTGGAGGGAATGGGTAGGAGGGTGTGCAGAGAACATGCTTAAAACCTTTGACCATCAGGCTTGATTCTCAGACTGGCTACGTGGAAGGTAGGACATTACAAAAATGTGTCTCTTCCTGCCAGATCCTTTTATCTGTTTTTGTGAGCTAAGAGACAGGACAGGCAGGATATAGAAAGTGCCACTTACCAAATAACTGGCAGCCGCTCTTGGCCTTGGGATGTTGGGGGTTCCAAGCATCTCTGCTCTACAGGAATCTATTCAAGGATGCCTTCTAGCCCTGCCTGAGCTCCTTGTGCTGGTGGGAAATCCAGAGGAGGGGGGCAAAACCCACAGTGTCTCTGCAATGGTCTTTGTTTTTCTGTTTGGCCTTTCCCTTCGCTGATCCAGAAAAGAAACTCTTCCCCATTATTTATTCTCATCCATGTGACCATCCCAATATTAGCCCCTCTCGGCACCAGAGACCAAGAGCTCATTTGGAGAGAAATATTCTTAGGTCAAAAAAGAGCCCAGGCAGTGGTTTAACATATTTCACATACTGCGAACATATTTGCATTTGCAAATAGGCTTGAAATATCACCTCCATTAATAGTAATTTAAGGTTCTGGAGAGACAGGTGAAAATAATTTGGGGGCAAGGGAACTTCCCACTCCTCTCAATTATAATAACTAAGGTGATGGCCTGTTCAGCGTACACATAACCTCAATCTTGGGACGAAGTCTCTGAACTAAAATGAGTCTATTTACATGCTCAAATTCGTAAATCTCTGTTCTGTCTGCTGTTTGCTGCTGTTATTAATGCTATTTATGTGAGCTGTCCTCTGTATAATAGAAAGCTTTTATGAATCTCTGCTTATTTATGTATTCCAAATATATTTATTGAGTACCTGCTATGTTCCAGCAGGGAGCATAAAAGATGTGAAGTGAAGCTGTGCTCTTGAAGTTTCTAGCCTAGTGAGAAAATCATATGAGTGAAATAATCACACTAAACATGGTGCTTTTTTTCCCCACATATCAAAACTTTAAAGTTTTATCAGATCCGGCCTTTTCACTTTCTTCAACTTATATAGAGACTTGGAAAATTATAAATAGATTTTAGCATATTTTTCAAAACTGGGTTATTTTTGGGAAAGCAAGTCATAGATTATACATTTTACCTATTTTAAGATTGTTGGTTCTTTTTGTTTTTTAAAGTTTATATCCAATTTAATTACATTTCCTTGAAATAATAGAAGTGGGTAGCTGATATACTGTGTTCTCTTAGACACGCATTAAGAATAGTTTTGTATTATTAAGAATTTAAGATAGCACAAGTAATAGTTTAGATACATCTAAACTATTAGATATATCTATTGCATTAGATACATCTTTCCAGGTTTATTTATTTTTTTTTTAATTTCAGGAAAATATGAGAGTACAAACTGCAATGGTGCTTTGAAGGGAAGAAAATGGTTCTATGTGGCTATGCAAATGATTAATTGCTATGTCTTTGCATTTGACATTTTGGTTGTTCCATTATCCCTGGATTTCATATGTCCCTTCCTGGGTAGAGTTGAGGATCAGATTTCATGGAGTTGAGGCCAGGGTGGGAGGGAAGAAAACATGGAAGGTGAGAAGGCTAGCCAAGCCAGATTCTTGAGGACAGAATTCAAGGATCAAACACCATGTTTCAAAAATCAGATAGAGGTGGGAGTCAAGGTTAAGAGTCTCTGGGCGAGGGGACTGAAGCTGTGAGGAGTTAGAACTAGAGCAAAAGTACATCTGAAACAAGCAAGGAGGGTGGTGGGGAGGTTCCCTGGCAGTTTTCCAGAGTCCAGGCAAATACTGGCAATCCACCTTTCATGGCCAGGCCAGGTAAGAGGATTTAGGGGGCTGGAGGAAGCACAGGGCCATAGGCTGACACAATCTTTTATTTGACTTTTATCCTCATCTCTAATCTCCTATAGAGAGTTGCTTCTGAACTGTACAGTGGAGTACACTCAGGCTGAGGCTTGGGAAATGACACCATTTTGAATATGTGTAGAGGAAGAAACAGGTCTTCAGTACTTTCCATCTCCAGGTCAAGGCCTTGAGACCTCAACACTGGGAAGTGTCCCGTTCCCTATCCATCCTCCTCCATTCATAGATTCCTTTCTGAGTTCCATTTCCTACTTTGATGAATTTAACTTGAACTTAACTCCTAATGGCTAAAAAAGCCACATTTGACTCTTCCAGCTAGCATTTGCATTTTAACAGGGGCTTTCAAAAAATGCCTTTACCCAAGGAATGAGTAATGTGGGAATTCCAAGCGCCAGGGTAGGGCTGGTATACAGAATACGGAGAGGGGCCGTCCCTCAAATTGTGGCCTTGAAGCATTGGCTTTCTTTCTTCCACCATGACTCGGGTTGTGAAAAAACAAGGAAGAAGCTCCCTTAGAGGGAGTACAGGATAGACATGGCTACTTTTTAGAGAGTTCTGTGGGCCTGGTTCCTGGCAGTCACAGCCCTTTACGAATGTGCACGCACTACGAGAGGCACCTGTAAAACTCTGTACGATGCTTAACTTTAGGTGCTTTTTGGCAAAAAGGAAAAAAATGGTTTCCAAAACCATCACTAGTTTGAAAAAAGGGTGCTCCATGACTCAGAAAGGTCTAATTCTAGATATACTTGCTCTTGGGGACTGGAAAGCTAAATGCTATTGCCATGCTATGCTCCTTCTTCCAGGCCAGGGAGGGAATGCACTCTTCATTTTAATCCTTCAGTTAACTACAACATTGGAGGGTGAATAAAAGCCTCCTCTGCTCCCTATGAATCTGCATAGACACTTCTTCTCTGTGCTTATGCATCCTTGATGCTGCTCTCCTCGTGCCTGTGGAAACACTGTGCTCCCAAATGGGAGGGGAAAGAACACTTAATGAAAGGTCAGAAAACTCTCCACAAATGGGGGCCCAGGAGATTTGCTCCAAGGAGAGATTGGAAGCCCAGTGACACCTGTGATATGGCCTGAGCTAGAAGGAGACTTGGCTGGTGGGGAAGTTTGAGGAACGTGGAGCTCAGGATGTAGGACATGTCTCCACAGCCAGTCATCTCTTGTGCCCACCAGACACCAGGAAGTGGCCATGTCTCCATGGCAGCATTGCTCACACTCATCTCTTCCTTGCCACGCCTCCTGCCCCTATGCAGAGCTCTGCGAGCGTTTATTCTTGCTCACTCTAATACCAGCCCTTTCCCCAGGCCACTGACCATCTATTTTCTTTAAATTTTCATATCATCATTTTTCTGTTCCCAAACTACTGATCCCAAACTCCTGATTTTCTATTAAATATGAAGTCCTTATCCAACTTTCCTGGCCCCATTAAGCTATCCTGCTCTGCTTACAGAAACTAATTTCCCATTATTTGTCTAAAGTCAACTTTTCTTCCAATCCAGTATACTTTTCTTATTGTCCCATAAAAAGACCATGATCATTCCCCTATTTCTATACATCCTTAAAAACTATTATATTTGGGGCTGGGCACAGTAGTTCATGCATGGTGGCTCACACCTGTGATCCTAGCACTCTAGGAGGCCAAGACAGGAGGACTGCTTGAGGTCATGAGTTTGAGGCCAGCCTGAGCAAGAGCCAGACCCAATCTCTACTAAAAATAAAGAAATAATAGAAAAAATTAGCTGGGCATGGTGGTACACACCTGTAGTCCTAGCTACTTGGAAGGCTTAAGCAGGAGGATCACTTGAGCTCAGGAGTTTAAGGTTGCTGTGAGCTAGGCTGATGTCATAGCACTCTAGCCCAGGTGACAGAGTAAGACTCTGTCTCAAAAAAACAAACAAAAACTATAATATTTGATTGTGTCTCAGAAAGTTGCCAAAGAATGGTGATTTTATATCAATAAAAAACATTGAATATTGGGTTATGCTTGATGTTCTTTATGTGTGTATACATTTGTATCAAAACTATGGCTGAAATATTTATCCAGTTAAACTCAATCAATGTTTAAAGTTGGTTCATCAAGAGGCAGCAGCTCTTTGAGACCCATTAAGCAGATACCTTGGCTGCAAGGTTGTATATTATCAGAAATCTGTTTCATGGGCTATCTCGGGAAGAATTGTTAGAAGCTAGCAAAGCCTTTTAAGGACAGAGGCAGATGGTCACCACCTTGAGTTCTAGGAAATTAACAATTGTTAATGTTAAAAGAAGACAGCGATTCTCAGAGGAAGACTGTTAAGCAATGCAGTGGCCCAGGCTGACAACCCTCTTGGGTGGGAGTATCAGAATGAGTGAACTTAGAACCAATACTGGGTGGAGACTTATTTGTTCTAACAGAAACTGACTTGGGCAAGCACTGACATGCCTGGCTCACTTCGTTTCTGGCCTCAGTGTACAGTTCTGAGATCAAGTCTGGCCCACGGTCAAGGTTCAGCTCAAATATTACCACCTTCCTTGCACCATTCCAAGCTGTAGGAATGCTTGCTGCTCTTCATATCTTCTAAAGCTCTACATCACTGGTAGTCAGCTCAGCAAACTGTCCTCAGACAGGGGACCCTTAAAATGCACCATACTGTACACTATGTTAAAATGAAAAGGGGCTCACGATGGGGAATAGAGAGAGATGGATTATTTAGATGTCCTTCTTTAGTTTTTCTCCTGTCTGGGAATGTAATGAGAATATTAGAGGTTAATGTAAAAGTTATAGGATTCAACCACCCACCCAATTCAAGAATTTCTCCTAAAATGTCTCTTCAGTGTTATTATCCCACTTTTGCTAGAGCAGTAACTAGTGGCAGGGTGTTTATAAGCTCACAAGAAAGTCCAGTCCCTGGTTGTGGCTCTCTATTAAAAGTTTTCCATTATCTGGGGTTGTAATCTGGCTCCCTATAACTTCCAGATGTTAGAACTACTTGCTCTTCAAGTGACAGCGTGTGTGTGTGTGTGTGTGTGTGTATGTGTGTGTGTGTGTGTGTGTGTCCTCACATGGGACTGCCCTTAAATATTTGCAGCCAGCCAGCATGTACTTGCAATCTTCTCTTCCTCAGGTTCATTACCCCCAGTCCTTTTCATTGTTCCTCATTTGACATAATTTCATTATTCACTAGTGAACCATGCTGCCTTTTCTCTTGATAGACTCTAATTTGCCAGTGTCATTCAAGTATAACTGACCTCACTGCATGTGGTGCCACAAGTGATATGGTCTGATTAGCACAGAGTTCAGTGAATGAATTCTATGCTAGGACTGAATGAAATTTTGGTTAGCCGTGCCACACTAACATTTATGTGATTTTTATATTTACTGTGGATAAGCTATTTCTCTAGTGCCTACTTATTCCACTTACACAGTTGTTATTTTAAAACCTAAGTACAGACCTTTATACTTAACCTCATGAGATTTACCATGATAGTATTAGTTTCTCTTTTCAGACTTTAAGAATATTAATTCAGGTGACCAACTTTTGAGCTATCTGTCTTATCTTGTGCCATCTGCACAGCAGAAGTATGATTTCTATTGCTTTCATTCACAGTGTTACTGAATATGTAAAAGTGAAAAAGTAAAAAACAGAGTCCTGTAGCACCCACTGTGGGATCAGTCTGATGAACAAGAAAGATTCTTGACACTCAGTTGTTGAGTGAATGAATGAAACATCAATACTTTGTCCTCATCTCCCTTATTTAATCCATCCCCATATCCTGTTAATTATAATCCTAAATATTTCTTGATCTATCTATTTCTCTCCACTTCTGCTGCTACCATCCTAGACCAAACAGCCATGTTCTCTCACTCAAACAACTGCAGGAGCCAACTGATTGGGCTTCCTGCATCTGTTCTGGCTTCCCTACTATCCATTTGCTGCCCGTGAACCAAAATCATCTTTTCAAAATGCAAACCCGATTGTTTCATTCCTCTGTTTTATTTTCTTCAGTGGTTCACACTGCTGTGATAATAAAGACCAAAATCCTTAACTGACCCATAAAACAAGTGTGGTCTGGCCCCTGCTGACCTCATCAGCCTTGTCTTCCCCCTCTCTTTATTTTAGCCACATTGACCTTCTCGTACATTCTCTCATGTGCCCTCCTGCCTGAGTGCCTTTTACATATGCTATTCCCTTTGCCTAGAAGTCTTCCTATTCACTCCTCAACCCTTCAACTACTTAGCACCTGTTCAATCTGTTCTGTTTATCTATTGGTGCATTACAAACTGCCCCCAAACTTAGCAGCTAAAAACAATAAACATTTTACTCTCGCGCGCAATGTTGTGGGTCAGAAATGTGAGTGGGCCTTGGCTGATTCTTCTGTTCCTCCTACCATCAACTGGGGTCACTTGATGATATTACACTGATGGATGAAGGGCTGATCTAGTGATGCACTGTCCAATTCAGTAACCACTGATCACCCGTGATGTGGCTAGGCCTAATTGAGATGTGCTGTACATATAAAATGCCCACAGTATTTGGGAAGATTTGGTACAAAACATAGAACTTAAAAATCCATTAATAATTTTTATATTGATCACATGTTAAGATTACAATATTCTAGATATATTAAATAAAAATTTTATTACAATTACTGTCACATTTCTTATTAATGTGACTACTAGAAATTTTCAAAATTACATATGTGGCTTACAACTGTGGTTTGCATTATATTCATATTGGACAGTGCTGATCTAGAGCAAGGGTCAAGCAGCTTTTTCTATAAAAAGCTAGATAGAAAGTGTTTTCAGGTTTATAGTTATTATGGTTCCCATCACATATACAATTCTGCCATTGTGGTTTGAAACTAGCAATAGACAATAATTAAATAAGTGGGTATGGCTATGGTCAATAAACCTATTTATAAAAATAGGTGGTAGCAGATTTGGTAGGCAGGCTGTAGTTTGCAAACCCCAGAGCTAGAAGATTCGAGGTTTTATTCGTATGTCTAGTGGCTTGGCAGAGATGGCTGGGAGGCTGGGCCCAGCTGGGACTGTTGATCCAAACACCTGCACATGGCTTTTCTGGCATGGTGGTCTCGGGGCAATGGGACATCTTAAATGGTAGCTCAGAACTCCAGAAAAGTGTTCCAAGAGAGACAAGTAGGAGTTGCAAGGTTTCTGATGACCTAGCTTCAGAAGTCCCAGAACAGTCCTTTCCCTGCATTTCTATTGTTCAAACGAGTCACTAAGGCAGCCTGGATTCAAGTAGGGGAGATTAGACTCCACCTCTTCATGGGAGGAGTAGCAAACAATATGTGTCCTTCTTTAATCTACCACATCATTCTTCAAATCACAGTTTAGTATAGTCCTATTATAGGCTCTCAAAAGTACCATGAACCTCTCTTTTGAGCACCTATCATAGTTATAATTTTACATTTATTTATATGATTGTTTGATCATTATCTTGCTCCTCTACTAAACTATAAGCAACCACATAACGAGGGGCTGTTACTGGTTTTCCTTGTTGTTATATTCCCAGCACCCAGCATAATGCCTGCTTCAATAAATATTTGTTGAATGAATGAATGATCAATTACTAATATTGATCCCACATTTGTCCATATTGCTCCCAAGCGTATCATGAAACTGTCAGAAGCCATTTTAAAATTCAGATGCATTTGATACCAACAACTTTCTTATCTTTCAGTTCAGAAACTATAAAAAAGGAAATAAGCTTACTGCATTCCTCTCAGTACCTCAAAGGTAGTAACGGCTGCTTTAAACACACAGCATCAGCTTCTGGTGCTCTGAGAAGCAATTCAGTGTAGCATGTCACACCCGGGGTCAGCCAAAACCCCAGGCAGTTGGTATTCCTTCTGAGCTCACTCTCCTCTCACCCAGCTGAGGGGCCGGTCCAGCAAGTATGAACTGGCAGAGGGCAATGGGCCGGGCCCTGAGTGTTGCTGGGCTGAGGCAGCCCCAGTCTCTCCTCCACGGAGGTTGTGGCGTCTCCTGCTTTGCTTGGCACCAGGACCCTCGCCCGCATCAGGCAGAGCTGAGCACTCCACCCTTCCACGCTGGCCCTGGAGCTTGAATTGCAGTTTTTTGTGGACTTTTTATGTTTCATCTTAGAGACCAAAGCCTACACATCTTTACACCCCCCACCTTTAGAACAAGTCTGACACTAAGTAAATGCAGTAAACGTTTGTCTGAAAGACTATCTCAATGAATAATAACCTTCTGGAGACACCAACAAACTTACCACTACTTTTCCTGGTGCCCTGATTACCACTAACATTCCAGACAAAGTTGTCAAATAGGAAATCTTTTTCTTTGTTGCTATTCAACTTCTTCCTTGGAGCCCCTCTCTCACTTCCTGTTTCGTCACATCCGCACTCCCGGCCCCTCGTACTACTTTTTATCTGAACTAGACTGCGCATGCGCCTTAAGACCTGGGACACAAACATATCCCTTCTTTGGCCCCTATTTTTCTGCACAAATAGTTCTATTTCCCCAGAGCTCTTCTAGGTGTTGCTTAGGTGGAACACAGTAGCGTGCTCCGGAAGCGAAACCCATGCGGGGAAACTTCACCTGGCCGGGGTTAGAGCAGAGAAGAACTCTCCGGCACACCCTGATGCAAAGGGACACTTTTGGCCCCTCCTTCCTCTGACCCAGTCTGTCCCCCTGAGTGTCCTCTCTGATTCCAGGAGCCACCACCACACCCGGCCTGGGGCTGAGCTGCTCCCCGGCTGCCCCGAGTGGGGAGCATGGGAATCCCTCCCGCCTGCTCCCACACAGAGCCGGCCGGCTGGCGTTGTTGCAGGGGCCGCACCAGCGTGAAGGAGAACACAGCGAGGCTGCATGGGTTTTAATTTCAACTCTACAAGTTTACTTGCTGGGTGGCCTAGGCCAGGTACCTTAACCTCTCTGAGACTCCCTTTCTTCATCTGTAACATGGGGACAAGTAATCTTCCCTGGTTCTGAGGAGTAACATCATTCACCCAACGCTTACTTATGCTCTGTGACCGGCCAACATGCAAAGTAAGTGAAAGTGGGGTATGGCAGGTGCTCACCTTTGGGTTTTGGAATGAACCTCCAGTTACACAGAGGCTCCTCTTTTTAGGTTTCTGACTGGTTCACCCACCTCACAGACCATATTCTGCTGACAGATGACAGAAATCTTCTCTCAGAGAATCCCCACGTGAATTCTTAGGTTCTTTCCTCTCCCATTCCCCTTTTTGCTCTCACCCTCCAAAGGCAAGAGCTTCTACTTTGCAGGCCCTCTGTGAAAGCTATGACTTGTACTTGTGGTTGGGGGCACATTCCTGAGGGAGCGGTGATATTTCTGCTCTTCACCGCCAACAGCAGTGGAGAAACTGGCTTCTTAACCCAGCCCCCCCCCCCATACACACACGTACCACAGCTGGAGCTGAGACAAATTCTTCACATGGGACATTTGCACTTTATAAAAATAATCATGTCAATCTTGAGTATTTGAGCTTTATATTTTAATAGAGCCACTGACAAACTAAGTGTCCAAAGTGTTTTCCAGATGGTGTGTGGTCTCCAGATTAATGTCAGTGAAGTTTACAGGAAAGATTATCTCCACTGGGCCAGGCCAGGATTTTGAGGAGGAATGTGAATGCTGTCCCCAAATCCTTAAAGGGCTTTGGCAGAAGCGTGTTAGACTGACTCTGGGTAGCTTCAGAGGACAAAACCAGTATCAATGAGAGGAAGCACAAGAGAAGCAGCTGCTAACCTAGGGGAAGAGAGAGTTTCCAAATAGAGAAGTCAAAAGTGGTACTGACTTCCTCGTCAGGGCCAGTGCTCCTTCCCACTGTGTGCGCATCAAGATTCCCCAGGGCCACACTGATTTCATGTAATTATTTGAATTAAGGGTGATTTATTAAATTTATAGCAAAATATAATTTGATTTTATGTCCCTGTTTACCATGTCACCCCAGGAAAAAAAGCTTGGATTAGGTCATGCATACTGATTTTGGGGTTGCACACAATGAGAGATTTCTATATTAGGTGGGAGTTCAGACACAAAGGGCCCCCGAGTTCCCAGATTCTATGATAAATAGGTTACTGCTGGTGATTTCAAATGAGGAAGTACATGGGAATCAAATGGAGAACTCTGTTCCCAGGCTGCACATTTGAGTGGTGTCAGCTTTGGCTCAACAGATGAGGCCCAAACTCTGAAATCTATTAAAATCGCTGTAAAGGAGGGGAAGAGCAATCAGGAACCTGCCATTCAGTTCATACACTGAGCACCTACTATTTATTTCAGCAACTCAATATATTTGCAACTAGTCACAAAGCACTGCTGTTTATAAAAGAGCATCTAGAAGTAAATAAGAAAAAGACCAAAAACCCCAATTAAAAGCGGGCAAAAGAAATGTATAGATATTACATAGAGCAGGGAATACTGTCTCTTATACATTTGAAAAAAATGCTTATACTCAAAATAAGAGAAATTCATTTTAAAATGACAGAGCCATTTCACACCCATTAGGATGGCTACTATTAAAAAAACAAAACAGAAAGTGTTGGTAAGGACATGGAGAAATTGGAACCCTGGTGGAAATGTAAAATGGTGTAGCCACTATAAAAAACAGTATAGAAGTTCCTCAAAAACTTAAAAATAGAATTACCACATGATCCAGCAATTCCACTTCTGGGTATACACTCAAAAGAAGTGAAAGCAGGGTCTCAAAGAGATATTTGCACACCTGTGTTCATAGCAGCGTCATTCACAATAGCCAAAAGGTGAAAGCAACTCAAATGTCCATCAACAGATGAATGGATAAACAAAATGTGATATATATACAGTAGGATATCATTCAATCTTAAAAAGGAAAGAAATTCTGAGATATGCTACAATGTGGATAAACCTTGAATATATTATGCTACATGAAATAAGTCAATCAAAAAAATCAAATACTGTATGACTGTTTATTCATTGAGTAGTCAAATTCATGTAGACAGAAGGTGTTATGGTGGTTGCCAGGGGTGTAGAAGAAAAGAGAATGAAGATTTACTATTCAGTCAGTATGGAGTTGCAGTTTTGCAAGATGAAAAGAGTTAAGAGATGGATAGGGTGATGGCTGCACAACAATGTGAACATATTTAATACCACCATGCACTTAAAAATGATAAATATGGTAAATTTAACTCTGGGAGGTCGAGGCAGGCGGATTGCTCAAGGTCAGGAGTTCGAAACCAGCCTGAGCAAGAGTGAGACCCCATCTCTACTAAAAATAGAAATAAATTAATTGGCCAACTAAAAATATATAGAAAAAATTAGCTGGGCACAGTGGCACATCCCTGTAGTCCCAGATACTCAGGAGGCTGAGGCAAGAGGATTGCTTGAGCCCAGGAGTTTGAGGTTGCTGTGAGCTGGGCAGACGCCATGGCACTCTAGCCTGGGCAACAGAGTGGGACTCTGTCTCAAAAAAAAAAAAAAAAAAAAAAAAGATAAATATGGTAAATTTTATGTGCATTTTACCACAAATGAAAATAATTTTTAAAACTCGAGATGCCATTTTTAACCTTTCCTGTCAGTAAAGATCACAAATTAGAAAACATATTATGTTGGCAAAAAGTATGTGAAAATACACACTTTTGTGATTTGCTGATCAGAGCATGAACATGTAATCTTAGGGGAAAACAATATTTTCATATCTCCCAAAACTAAAATTGCAATTACTCTTTGACCCTTGGTCAAGCAATTGTATTTCTAGGAATATAGCTTACCCCTACTTGTGTGATACAGCATATAATCAAGGTTTTTCATTGCCACAAAAGATGGACAACCTAAATGTTCATCAATAGTGGCCTGGAAAAACATAGTATTGCCATCTAATAGAATACAATAGAATAATAGGCAACCATTAGCATGAGGATACTCATTACATGCTGATACAAAACAATCTCCATGGTGGTGGTAAGTGTGCAAAACTGTGTATACTATGCTACCATTTATGTTTAAAAATAAAATGAAAAGAGAATATGGGTCTATGTTTTTATTTGTTTTCTTTTGTCTAAAAATAACTTCAAGTAGAGGCAAGAAACTGGTAACAGGTAACAATAGTTACTCCAGTTACATCTACAGAAGAAAACTAGACAATCAGGGGGTAGATTTGGGAAATAGACTTGCTTTCCACTATTTATCACCTTTACCTTTTAAATTTAGTGCCGTGTACAGGTATGACCTATTCAAAAACAATAATAAAAAAAAAGTTATAGTCTAGAAGGGAAGAAACAGAACAGACACTTTTAGCTCAATGCCCTGTGCTGGGGGCGATAGGGACAGAGAGGAACGGTATGTAGCATAGCACAAAGGGATCAGAAATGGCTTCTAATCAACACTCTCCTGGGAAGAAATTTTTGCTACTGAATCAAGAATAGTTGTACATCTCTTCCTGAGCATTGGTTTGTTTCTATCAACATACCTGTGAATTAACATACAGACTTGTGAATTAAGTCACTGGTTAGGTTTTCCTTTGCAGAGAGGCTGTTAAAAACCTATAAGCCAAACTTATGCCCCACCCAGTGCAAGGTGGGCAGGTTTCTGTGTTAAGCATTTAGCAATGTCCATGTCCCTGGCTCCACACTATGCTCCTGTATTTGATTTGTTTTTTCATGTTTCTAATGTTGATCATCTTTTCTTATTCTATGCTTCCCTATAAACCATTCTATAGCCTCTTCAGTTTAAGTTGCCGTAAGTGGGTGGATGGAGAAGGAGGAAGGGAGGGGATGAAAGAGGATAGAGGTAAACAAAGCAATGCACGTCATTTTCCTTGGCTCCAACATGTATATTAAGCGAATACTCTAGTTTAGTGGTTCTCAAACTGTGATCCTTGGACCAGTATCATCATCACCTGTGAATTTGGTAAACATAAAAATCTCTGGGCTTCATCCCAACCTATTAAATTAGCCTCTGTGGATGGGGCCCAGGAAACTGTTTTATATGCCCTCCAGGTGATTTCTATGCACATTAAAGTCTGAGAACCATGAGAAACCAAAGATAGGTTGATTTTTAAAAATAAATACAGTACTCTCTAATTGCCCCATTAAACCTATTGTGTTGGTCAAGATAAATAATGCCAGCTACTGCAATAATCATTCCCCAAAACATCATTAGCGTAACACAATAAAAGTTTAATTTTTGCTAATGTCACAATCCAGTGTAGACGAGTTGTGGGGAAGGGGTACAAAGAGCTGCTTTATTAAGTTATTCAGCAAACCAGGTCCCCTCCATGGTAATACTTTGCCATCTTTTAGGCCCTGGGACTTTCCCCTCTGGTTCCCCAGCATCTAAGAAGGCAGGAGAGAGAAGAAAGAGAGAGGTTTTTAGCAGCCAGGTCTGGAAGTGACATCTTTTCTGCCCACAATTCCACTGGCCAGAACCAGTCACATGGCGGGTCTAGCAGCGGGAGAGGCTGGGAAAGATGGCCTATCCGCGCAGCTAAGAGGAAAAGGGAATGGCTCTGGGAAGCACGTAGCATTGTCTCGGCCATATCCAGCAACCCAACTGAATCCCCAACTCAACTTCTAGTTTACGTTTCGGTAAACACTGGTTTTTAATTTCCTTTGCTAACCAAGTTTTATCTTTTCTTTTTCAACTCTAGCACGATGGAACTGTGTCGCTTTCTCTTTGTGGCGGTCTTCCTCCTGCTCCCTGGTAAGAACCTTTTAGCTTTGTAAAGTCGCGGAATCCTTCCACTGTCTCCCGATGAGTCTGACCACCGCAAGCCCAGGCCTGAGACTTTTACTCGGTTTCTACTGAAGGTTGCACAACACCACATGCCAAACAGACTTTCCTGGAGAAGAAGGAAGTGTTGTGATTGAAGCCAGGCATCTCAGACGATGGCAGGCAGGCCCAGCCTGGGATGGAGCCCTGCCGTGTTTGCAACCTCCGCCGTCTCCACCAGTGGGCCTAGATGCGCGGAGTAGGGTAGTCCCGCCTGCCCTGCGCAGCCCAGGGGCTGGGGGAGGCCGCCAACCTGAGGCCCCTGGGACTCGACTACCGTGGCTCCACACACACTCCCTTCTGATCTTCTCCGACCCCAGTTATGGCAGTCTCAGGCTCTTAGGGAAAAGCTGACGGGCCTCCAAAGGCACAGGTCTCCTTCCACACAGGGCATTGGCGTCCACGGTCCCTGCTTCCCTTCCCCCTCCCGCTCCCGTCCCTCCGTGGCCACGCCCATAGGTGGCGGCTGCCACTCGTCACTGACAACTGCGGACCCTCAGCAAGCGGCGTCAGCCCGTTTATCACCAAGCTAATGAAGCTGAAGCTTCAGGATCCCCCACCCACGCAAACCCTTTCCAAATCTCCCTCAGGACCCCTCGAGGAGCCCCAGCAGTGTGGTCACATGTCTTCTGTTTTGGTAAAATTTGAGTAAGATGTTTTAACCACAAGTAGTTATAACCACTGTCTCTTTTCACTGCGATTTTTCCCTCCATCATGGTGGGCAGCGTTGCTTGTAGTAACTATGGGTATATTGCATTTGAATTCTACCTGCTTTTTCTTACCAATCTCCCCCTTCAAAATATGAATAGCTCCAAGCCTCACAAAACCCAGGTCTTCCCTGTTTGCTGCTCCTCTCCGAGTATACTGTTTCATCTGTGAACTGGGGTTGGCTGGGTTCCTGCCGTGCATCCTGTGACTCAGTGTCTTTTATTAATAGTCTCTCGGGTCTGCCCTTCCTGCTGCAGCCTGAGCGGGGAGCCATCCCAGCCTCAGAGCGAGGCGGACAGGGCAGGGACCTGAGCCACCCCTGACTAAGTGCCCGCCGTGAATCCACCTGCTCCAAAGGGCCACACACCAGGCCCTTGGCCACCGCCCCCAGGCTTGATGGGGGTGACAAGGAGTCAGGGTAAGAGGGAGAGGTGCTCCTTCAGATCAGTGCTGGCTGGGATGGGCCTATTGTGATTTGTGTTTTCTGCTTAGCACCTTGAGCTTGTGGAGTCCGTGAGTGTGAGGTCTGTAGATGTGGCAACTGATCACTTCACTGACTTAGGCAGCAACAGCAGCTTCCACCTCCCAGGGTCCACGACCTGCCACCTTAGCTCTTGGGGAGGTGGAAGGGGTGTGTGTGTGTGTGTGTGAGAGAGAGAGAGACAGAGACAGAGACAGACAGAGAGAGAGAGAGAGAGAGAAAGGAGGAAGACAAGACCCCCCAGCAAGATTCCCTCCTCATCCCACTTCTTATTTATGTGACAGATACATATATATATATATATATATATACACAGTCATGAGTCATTTAATGATACGGATACGTTCGGAGAAATGTGTTGTTAGATAACTTCATCATAATGTGAACACCATGAATGTACTTACACAAACCTAGATGGCATACCTGCTACACAGCCAGGCTGTATGGCATAGCCCATTGCTCTAGACTACAGGCCTGTGCAGCATGTTACTGTCTTTGATACTGCAGGCAGTTTTAACACAATGGTAAATATTTGTGTATCTAGACATATCTAAACATAGAAAATGTTACAGTAAAAATACAGTATTATAATCTTATTGGGTCCACCGTTATACTTGCAGTCTGTCTTGACTAAAATGTTATTATGCAGTGCATGACTGAAAATATATGTGTATATATATATATCACTTACTTTGGGCCAGATACTGTTCTAAGCATTTTATAAATATTAACTGATTTAAGCATCACAATAGCTTTCTGCTTTAGGTCTTGTTATTATTCCCCATTTTAAGATGTGGACACTAAAACCCAGAGAGCTTAAATAATTTACCCATGGTCAACATAGCTACTGTGACAAATGGCAGGGCTTGGATTCACACCCAACAGCGTAGATTAGCATCTGTTCATTTAACCATGACCTTGTGCTGCTTCTCCTAACTCTTGCTAGTGAATCATCATAAGTGGTTAAGGTTTCTTCCTTGGGGACCTGAACAGCTTTGGTGAGTAATACAGCTTCCGCCTCACCCCTGTTCACTAGCTCCTCGCAGCACATCTGCTGTCTCGCTTGCAGCTGACACCTCTGCTGACCCTAAGGTTTGGTCCCCAGCCCTTCTCATCACAGTGACCCAGCTCTTACGACCTGGGAAAGAAGGAAGAAAAATGCCCTGGAAACAAATTTTCAGAAAATGCTAAACTGGAACACCATTTCCCCCAAAACTTTCTGACTCTGCACACTGAAAATGAGAAAGTAAAGGCTAGACATCCTATCAAAACTGAGTCCAGGTATCACTTTTGCCCTTGCCTTGCCTTTGAAACTGCTTGGAAACTAAAGAGTTATTGATATTGAAAGCTTAACAGTAATTCCCCCATATGGTAACTGTTCAATTTTTACGGTGATGAGAGAATAAGTGACTGTATTTTTGGCAGTACGAATTTAAAGTGGGATAGAAAACTTGCAGCACCAGATTAGAAAATAACATTGCCAATACTTCATACATTATTAAAAACAACAACAAAACAGATGTCATTCTTTTTTAAAAAATGAAAAGAATGTATTTGCATTTTATCTGTCTTTCTTCTCAGGGGCACCTCTGCATACTGGGCTGGAGAACAGTGACCTAGCCACAGGGCAGGCATCCAAAGGGAGAAAGGAGATACAGTTGACCCAGATAATTCACAGCAAAAATGCAAGGCTGAATAATTCATTTGATGGTGTAGATACAGCAGTATACTGAAACAATTCTGTTTCTTCTTTTCCTCCCTTATCTTTTATGTCCTCCCTTTGTCATGGAAATTAGGCATAGTAGTGGTTGCTACCTGGCTCTCAAGGCTAACTAACTTTGGAGAGTTTAAGACTGAAATGGGCAGGAGGGGCAGCCCTGGCCTTGAAGAATTAGATTACAATGTGTGCTTTGTATTTATAAGGCTAAAGAAATTTCTAAGTGCCATTTGCAGAAGTACCTCTAACTGTCAAGCTCTGTTTGTTGCTATGCTGGCCCCTCCATAACACTTTTAGGCTAGAGCCAGAGTGGTTTTTGGAAAATTAGTAGTAGTGGATTTTAGAAAATCACCCCACATCAAGAGGAAGTATCTTTGCAGTTTGACTTTTGGTAGTTGCTCTCTTTTTTGTCTGAGTGTTTTCCAGATCCTAGGGCTTCTTGTTTCTCTTGAAGCACACTTCTGATTCAATTAATGTACCTGGAGTGGTAGTTGGAAACTTTCTACACTTTAAGATGTATGTAAAATTGACTTAAACCCTCATTCCACATGGAGGAAGTTCCATTGTTTTTCCCTAGATTTTTGCAGGTTCCTACATGGATGGTGCATGAGTATAAAGTTTATATGGTTACTTTTGACACCCATTTCCTACTGTTGTTAGCTAACTAAAATTACCACCTGGAGGTGAATAAGCAGTTCAGACCTATCATTCCCAAAGAATTATCATGGAGCCTAATATTAAATAATTCTATTATAGTCATTCCTTTGGTTAAGGTACTACTTCAGGGTCTTTTTTAATACATGTATGTTATCCAGTAGGGATTATCTTGCCCACAAATTAGTTGATTATTTTAGTAATTCTTTTAGTAGGTTCTAAAGAAAATGGACAATTACACAAGTTAATTTAGTGGAAGACAGTCACTGAAGAGAATGCATCTGGGATTGTTTGAGAACAAGAGTGAAATTGGTAGGGAAGAGAGAGGCCCCAGTGGCAAACAGCCTCCTTTAGGCAGCAGCAAGAGTTTGAGAGACAGTGGCTTATTTTTCTATTGTGAGAGAAGGAGTCTTAATACCATTTCCATAATGTATAACCTAGGATTTTCACCCTCTCGGTACTGTTGAGATTTATGGAACCAAAAACACTTACAGCCCTTCCTTTATAGCCAAGATTTTACCTCTAGAGCTAAGCTATTCCACATAGGGGAACCCTTTAAAATATCATTCCATAGGCCCAAGTTCTAAGATGTCAAAATTTAGGGAAGCACTTCTAACACCTTGAAGAGTACTTACTCATTCTTGGTTCACCCATTTTCTTTCATTCTCTCTCCCTAGATAAATAAATATCTCTATTTATGTGCATATATGGAAGTAAAACTCAATGGAAATCAAGCAGGCAGGAAGGGAGAGGAGATGGGTAAATTCATACCTAATGGGTACAATGCACACTATCTGGGTGATGGGCACACTTGTAACATTGACTCAAATTGTACAAAAGCAAATTATGTCACCAAAATGTTTGTACCCCTGTAATATTCTGAAATTTTTAAAAAATTAAAAAAAAATTCAACTATCCCCCACTATTTAAATGTTACTTTATATAATTGTGATCAAAGTATAGATGAAAATCTCTGACTATGTTTTATTCAACATTATTTCATACATAATTTCTCAGGTTTCTAAATACTTTCCATTTTTATAATTTTTGAAATTGTAATAGTCATTTGAGTCAAAATATTATAATTTGCTTTATTTTGTGTGTGTTTTATTCATTTGGATATTATTGTCCCATTCTCTTCTTTGGTTTATGGTTGCTAAGGAGCTTTCAGTCCAATTGTCATTGTTTTGCAAGTATTCTTTCTTCATTATTTAAAGAATAATCTATTTGATTCCTTTTTGTAAGTTTGAAAAAATGTATACTTTATGTTTGGGTAGATTCACCACAATATTTCTAGGTGTATATTTATTTTCATTTATTTTGCTTGGTACTTTGAATGCACTTTTGATCTGAGGATTCATGTCTTTCTCC